TTGTGATCCCTTGATAGTCGTTTTGACCAGGCCATAATGGCAACAGTTCGCTGGCTGCCTCCTAGCTTAAACAACAACACCAACAACAACAATGTAATGCTGTGTTGGAAATTACCAAAAAGACAAAAATACAACAAAGCAAACTTTTCGCATTTTTGCACTTACTGCAACTCCCGGCCAGGACTTCTCATATAAATGGATTATTTTCGAAGGTTTGTCTCTGTGTGAGTGTCCATATTGGGACCAAATTCACCATCAAATGAAGAGATTTCAAATGGAATTTATTGTCGAAGTTTTTATTACAATTGTGGAAATTGTTGTCATCACCAATTTTCATTGAGACACTGCGTCAGCAGCACCACCAGGAAAACGGTAATAATGCTAAACTTTTCCGAATGGCTCCGTTGAAATTGTCCACAAAATGGAATTAAGTGGAGGGGTCAAGTAATGGGTAAAAGAAAAAAAAAACGAGGAAACGGGGTAGCTTAAAAATCGAACTGAAAAGCAAGGGGTATTTAAAGGCGAGCTTTAGGTCAGGAAAACGAATTAGGGGCCCAGAGGGGGTGTAAAAATGTGCTAAAGGACTAAGGAGTGTCTAGTGGTGAGCAGAAATCCCTAGGATTTTTGGCAGATGGGGATGGAGGGTCAGGAAGTTTTTACAGTCGAGTTGAAAAGTTAGAGGTTGTTCACAGACGTGATGAGTATCCTGGGAGTTTTCAAAAATGACCTAGAAGGCCGACAAGTCCTTACAGTTGAAGGAGCAAGAAAGTCTTTACAATCCAATTGACGGTCTGGGAGTCCCATAGACAAATTATAGAAAAGGTAGTCTTCTGGGTCTTTTTGAGGCGTAAGGAGTCTTCATTGAAGAGCTTCATGGTAGAGTTTGTCAAACGGAATATTCAAAGAACCAGAAAGTACTCAAAGTTGTGATGCAGAGCCAAGGAATATATAAAGGCGAGCTAGAGGGCCAAGAAGTCCAGAGTTGCTCTATAGACGGGTCTCCATTGGTGAGCTGCAGGGTCAGAGTCTTTAAAGGCGAGCTAGAGGGCCAGGAAGTCCAAATAAGTGCGCTGAGAGCCAAAGTCGGGTCTCCATTGGTGAGCTGCAGGGTCAGAGTCTTTAAAGGCGAGCTAGAGGGCCAGGAAGTCCAAATAAGTGCGCTGAGAGCCAAAGTCGCTCTATAGGCGAGCTTTGGGGGTTAAGGAGTCTCCATTGGTGAGCTGGAAGGTCAGAGTCTCTAAAGGCTACCTGGAGGGTCAGGCGAGCTGAAGGGTCAGGGAGAAGCTATATTAAAGAGTTTGAGGGTCAGACGGTCGTACGGAGGGGTAAGAAGTCTTCATTGAAGTGCAAAATGGTAGAATTGAAGGATCAGACGGTCGCTATGGATGAACTGCATTTATAGAATAGTTAGAAGGCCAGGAAGTATTCAAAGTCGTTACGCTAGGGAGTTTCCATTGGTGAGCTGGAGGGTCAGAGCCTCTAAGGGCGTGCTAGAGGGCCAGAGTGGAGCTACATAAAAACATTTGAGGGTCAGACGGCCGTTAAAGATGACCTGCATTTATTGAATAGTTGAAGAGCCAGGAAGTATTCAAAGTCGAGATGCACTGCCAAAGAGTATATGAAGGTGAGCTAGAGGACCAGGGAGTTCAAATAAATGCGCTGGGAGCCAGAGTCGCTCTACAGGCGAGCTTTTGGGGCTAGGAAGTCTCCATTGGTGAGCTGGATGGCCAGAGTTTGTCAGAGGGTCAGACGGACTTTAAAGTTAAAATGCAAAGGAGTTTTCAAAATCAAGATGAAGGGCCAGGGAGTATATATAGGCGAGCTGGAGGGCCAGGGAACCAAAAAAGGGCCCTGGATTAGGTCTAGGGAGTCTCCATTAGTGAGCTGGAGGGGAGGCTCCATATGCGAATTGGTGGGCAAGGACGCCTTTTTGGACGAACAGACCTTTTAAAGAAATTCTATACATAGAGGATCTTCCAAAAGACTTTTATATACTTTCCATAGGAAGTCGATGGATAGGAAAACTTTCAAAGGTCTTCTCTGGTTAGAAGACATTTGAATTACCTTAACAGACATGAGAGCTCCCAGAAAAAAATATTTCGTACACATCCAGGATACAGAAGACATGCCAAAAAAACTGTTGTGCAAATAGTTCTTTAAAAAATAGTTTTTAATCCCCAACGGTGAAACTACACTTCATAAAAATCCAAGATGTAGTTAGTCCTTAAAAAAAATACATTTTTTTACGTACCTTATTTCAAAAATCCATAACTGTAGAAGTCCTTGTGAAAAATATATTTCAAAAATTCAGAACAGTAGGAGTCCTGAAAAAATGAATTTTAAAAATTCACGAAAGTGAGAAGCCTTAAAATTCTATATCGGTTGGAGTTCTTAACAATGCACGACAGTGAGAATCCTTAAAAAAATTGATTTAAAATATTCAAAAAAAAGGAAGGTTCCTTAAAAAATATATTTAAAAATTCATGACTGTAGAAGTCGTTAGAAAAATAAATTTAAAAAATAAACGACAATGGGAGTCCTTGGAAAAAATATATTTTGAATATCCGCAACAGTGGTTGCCTTGAAAATTATTTATCAAAAAACACATACAGGAGTTCTGGAAAAAAAAATTATATCAAAAGTAACGACTTTGGGTTCTAAAAAAATATAAATATTTTTGTAAAAATCCTTAACAGTGGATCCTTAAAAAAATATTTCAAAAATCCATGAAAATCAAATCAAATCATTAAAAATCAAGACTTTGGGAGTCATTGAAAAATATATATATTTTAAAAATTCACGAAATATTCATTAAACACCTCAGGGGAATAGGAGTCCTGAAATAAATGTATCTTAAAAATATTCACGACATTGGGAGCCGTGAAAAAAAATTTTCAAAAATCCGTGCTGTGAAGAATCCCGAAAATTATTTTTTAAAAAATGCCTCAACATTGGAAGTCCTTTAAAAAATATTCTTCAAAAATTCACGAAAGCAGAATTTCTGTAACAAAATTTATTTCAAAACTTAACGACACTAGGAGCCCTTTAAAAAGTTATATTTCAAAAATTCACGAAAGTGGGAGTCCTGCAAAATTATATATCAAATATTTACGAAAGGAAGAGTTCTGAAAAAAAAATATTTTTTTAAAAAAAATATTCTAAAATCTTGGAAAAATATTATCGAAAATTCACGGAGGTAGGAGTCCAGAAGAAAATATATTTCAAAAATGCATGTGGATTTCTTCAAAAAAAATATATATATTTCCAAAGTATTTTTCAAAATTACACGACAGTGGCAGTTGTCGAAATAAATATATATTTTAAAATTTCAATAAAATAAATAAATAAATAAAATAAAAAATATTTCAATAATACATGTCAGTGGGAGTCTTTCATATATATATTTGATATAGAAGTCCTGGAAAAATATATTAATCTTGTAAATAGTCTTGGAAACATATATTTAAACAATCCGGGATAGTGGAAGTCCTCCATGCATTAAAATGCGGGGAGTTTCCTTCATGACAAAATTCTAAAAAATTCTTGTCCTTGAAAAAAATATTATTTTTATCAACGACAGAGGAAGACCTTAACAAAACATATTTTTTTAATCTACGAAAGAGAAGGACTTTAACATTTTTTTAAATCCACGACAGTAATGAGTCTTGAAAAAATGTATTTTTTTTAAATCGACGCCAGTAGTGATTATTGAAAAAAATGTTTTTTACAAAATTTCCGTCAGTAATAGTTTTTTGAAAAAAGTGTTTTTTTTATCAAATCCACGACTGTTGTTATTTTATGTTACAAAGAGTTAAAAAAACATTTTTTTTAACCTTCAACAGTTCTGGCCCCTCAAAAATATTTATTTAAAAACCACAATCCAATAATAGTTTGTGAAAAACTATTTTTTTTTTTTTAAATATTAAATTGATTATTTGATTATATATTAAATAAAATATGTTACAAGGAGCTTAAAAAAATGTTTTCTAAATCTTCAACAGTTCTGGCTCCTCAAAAATATTTATTTAAAAACCACAATCCAATAATAGTTTGTAAAAAACTATTTTCTTAAAAAAATTGACAATCCAGATAATCTTAAAAAATATTTAAAAAAAATCACAAGGGGGATAGCCCTTGAAAATATAATTTTCAAAAAAAAAAAATCAGGGCCTCCAGAAAATGGATTTCAAAATAAAATGTTTATAAAAATTCACGACGGTGACAGCATTTGAAAATTTAGTTTTTAAGAAATTCAGGGCCTTCGGAAAAGTAGTTTTCAAAATGAAATATTTTTTATAGATATTCACAGCATTAAAAAACAATTACTTAAATATCTTTTTCGAATGGTATTTTCCTTGAAAATCTATAAAAACACAAAGAAACAACTCTACACAACACCCAACAAAAAGGAATTCTGACACGATCCATATGGAGAAACATTACAAAAACAATAAAAAATTAAAATACATCAGAACATTCCCAAACATCCTCATGTCCATTAGCAAAAAAAAAAACATTAAATCCATCCAAGCTTCCATTCCGCAAGCCTTTGAGATCGTTTCAAAAAAATATGAAATTCCTCTATCCCTTTCCCCAAAACAAACCCATATTTCCCACTAAGGATATAACACAATTTTAACAAAAACAAATATTACAACAACAGCAAAAAAACATCTAATAAAACTCTTACAAAAAACACAAAAACAACATATATATGAAATAAAAATACCAATGTTTTTTTTTAACAAACTCAGTTTTATGTTACAACAAGTTTTGGTTTACAACAAATTCAAAAACAAAAAGAAAAACAAAAATATTTATTTTTCCAAACAAAAATAAAATATTTATGTTTACAGTTCAAAATTTTCGTTTTTTTTTTTTTAATTTTTAAAACACCCATTAAAACAATGAAAGAAAAAAATACCAAAACCAACAAAAAAAATTAAAGAAAAGAGAAAAAATACGAAACTATTCTTGTGTTGTTTATTGTTTTTTTGCAGGAGTTACAATTCTTCTATCGCTCACAGTGTTTCTCAACCTTGTAGCTGAGACATTGCCCCAAGTATCTGATGCAATCCCCCTGTTAGGTAGCGATTGCATTTAAAAATATTTCTATTCCTATATAATAATAATAACAATAACAATAATCTAATAACTGCATTTCAATATATATCTACATATATATATATACAACATATTTACTCTAAATATACATATATATTTACATACATATAAATATGTATATGTTGCAAACAAACCAAAAAAAAAATTAAGCAATTACTTTTTTGTTTTTCTAAACCAAAAAAAAAAATATCGTAACTAATTAAACGTTAAACTCAATTCTAACAAATATGAATATTTTAACAAAAAAAAAAAAAAAACAAAACATAAAACTATCTTCATACTAATACCTCATCTATTTAACACTCTTCTAACAAAAACAACATCTAACAAATACAAACAAACAACAATCTAATCATTACTAACCGCTATCTGCTATTAAATGTTTACTACTATAACTTTTTTATTTTTGAGTTTTAATTATTTATTTTTTTTTTATATCCACAGAAAATAAATCGATTTGAAATAAAGGTAGAATTTATACTCAAAAAAAATTTTCAAAAAATATTTAGTCTAAAAAAATAGTCTTAAAAAAATTATATTTTTTTAATCACCGTTAGTGATAGAAATAGTCCTCGAAAAATATATATTTTTCTTAAATCCATTAGTGATAGCTTTTTTAAAAAAATTATTTAAAAAATTAGCGTCATTGGGAGTCCTTGAATAAAATATATTTCGAAAATCCCCTACACTGCTAGTCCTGCAAAAATATATTTCCAAAATTAATGAAAGTGGAAGTTCTTGAAAAAGCTATATTTCAAAAATTCACGAAAGTGAAAGTGTTGGAAAAAATATATTTTAAAAGAATCCCCGATAGTGGGTATCTTTGAAAAAGTAATAATAGTAATAAAAAAATGTATAAAAAATATTTTTAATATTTGAAATTTTAAAAAAATATTTTTTTTAATATTCACGCCTTTGACTAGTCTTTGAAAAAATATTTTTTAAATATCCACGCCTTTGACTAGTCTTTGAAAAAATAATTTTTAAAAATTCACACCTTTGGCTAGACTTTGAAAAAATTATTTTTAAAAATCCACGACATTGACTTGACTTTTAAAAATATTTTTTAAATATCCACGCCTTTGACTAGTCTTGAAAAAATAATTTTTAAAAATTCACACCTTTGGCTAGACTTTGAAAAAATTATTTTTAAAAATCCACGACATTGACTAGACTTTTAAAAAAATATTTTTAAAAATCCACGCCTTTGGAAAAATATTTTTAAAAATACGTGCCATTGACTAGGCCTTGAAAAAATGTTTTTTAAATATTCATGCCTTTGACTAGTCTTTGAAAACAAAATTTTTTAACTATTCATGCCTTTGACTAGTCTTTGAAAACAAAATGTTTAAAAATCCACGCCTTTGAATAGTCCTTTGGGAAACTATTTTTAAAAATTTCATGCCTTTAACTAGTCCTTGAATTTTTTTTAATCCATGCCTTTGAATAGTCTGTGAAAACAAAATTTTTAAAAATCCGCACCTTTGACTAGATTTTGAAAAAAATATTTTATAAAAATCCACGCCATTGAATGGTCATTAAAAAAATATTTTTAAAAAATCCACGCCTTTGACTAGTCTTTGAAAAAAAAATTCTAAAAATTCACGCCTTTGACTAAACTTTGAAAAAATAATTTTTAAAAATCCATGCCTTTGAATAGTCTTTGAAAAAATTATTATTAAAAATCGGAGCCTTAGATTAGTTTTTGAAAAATAATTTTTTAAAAATCCAAACCTTTCACTAGTCTACGAAAAAATATTTTTTAAAAATCCACGCCTTTGACTAGATTTTGAAAAAAAAAATTAAAAAACAAACCTTTGACAAGACATTGAAAAAAATTTTTTTAAAAACCAAACCTTTGACTAGAAAAATATATTTTTAAAAATCCACGCCTTTGACTAGATTTTGAAAAAAAAAATTTAAAAAACAAACCTTTGACAAGACATTGAAAAAAATATTTTTAAAAACCAAACCTTTGACTAGAAAAATATATTTTTAAAAATCCACGCCTTTAAATAGTCCTTTGTAAAAATAATTTTTAAAATTCAAAGCATTTGACTAGTCTTCGAAAAAATATTTTTTTAAAAATCCACGCCTCTGGCTAGTCTTTGAAAACAAAATATTTAAAAATCCACGCCTTTGAATAGTCCTTTGGAAAAATATTTTTAAAAATTCATGCCTTTGACTAGTCCTTGAAAAAATATTGTTTAAAAAATCCATGCCATTAAATGGTCTTTGAAAAATATTTTTTAAATACTCAAGCCTTTGACTAGTCTTTTAAAACATTTTTTTAAAAATCCAAGCCTTTGACTAATCATTGAAAAAATATTTTTTAAATATCCATGCTATTAAAGGCCGTTAAAAAAATAATTTTTAAAAATCCACGCCTTTAAATAGTCCTTTAGAAAAATAATTTTTTAAAAATCCACGCCTTTAAATAGTCCTTTAGAAAAATAATTTTTTAAAAATCCACGCCTTTGACTAGTCTTCGAAAAAATATTTTTTTAAATATCCATGCCATTAAATGGCCCTTAAAAAAATATTTTTTAAAAATCCACGCCTTTGACTAGTCTTCGAAAAAATATTTTTTTAAATATCCATGCCATTAAATGGCCCTTAAAAAAATATTTTTTAAAAATCCACACCTTTGACTAGACTTAGAGAAAATGATTTTTGAAAATCCATGCCATTAAATGGTCTTTGAAAAAGAATTTTTTTTAAAATCCACGCCTTTAACTTATCATTAAAAAAAATATTTTTTTTTAAATCCATGCCATTGAATGGTCTTTGAAAAAATATATATTTTTTTAAAAAATCCATGCCTTTGACTAGTCTTTGAAAAAATATTTTTTAAATATCTACGCCTTTGACTAGTCTTTAAAACATTTTTTTTAAATCTAAACCTTTGACTAATCTTTGAAAAAATATTTTTTAAATATCGACGCCTTTGACTAGTGTTTGAAACATTTTTTTTAAAATCCAAGCCTTTGACTAATCTTTGAAAAAATATTTTTTTTAAATCCATGCCATTGAATGGTTTTTGAAAAACTAATTTTTAAAAATCCGCGCCTTTGACTAATCTTTGACAAAATATTTTTTTAAAAATCCATGCCATTGAATGGTCTTTGAAAAAGAATTTTTTTTTAAATCCACGCCTTTAACTTATCATTAAAAAAAATATTTTTTTTTTAATCCATGCCATTGAATGGTATTTGAAAAAATATATATTTTTTTAAAAAATCCATGCCTTTGACTAGTCTTTGAAAAAATATATATTTTTTTAAAAAATCCATGCCTTTGACTAGTCTTTGAAAAAATAATTTTTAAATATCCACGTCTTTGACTAATGTTTGAAAAAATAATTTT